AAATTATGCACCTTAGAATGGCAACATTGGCGGATAAACAGAACATAATAGGTTCATGTCAATTTTGTTTCCGTAAACATAGCTCAACCGAACTCGCTCTTTTAGCCCAAAAAGAACATATACTTAAACGTTTTGAGGATAAAAAGCTTACTCTTGGCATATACATTAACTTCACTACAGATTTTGACCACCTGGATGATAATTTGCTAATTGGGAAATTAAATTAGTATGGATTTCGTGGCCAAGTGTCACTTCTTTTAAATTCCTATTTGTCTTCCCACAGACAATATGTAGATATAAATGGTCAGTCATCTGAAATAAAACCGATTAAGTCTGGCGTTCCCCATGGAAGTATTTTGGGGCCTTTATTATTCAATATCTATATAAATGACATAGTAAACGTAAGTTCCTCGAACGACGTTTCATCGACACGCGATGTTTCATCGGCAGATTGTTTCATCGTCAAACCGTTCCATCGATAGTGCAGATTAACTTTTTTTTCTGTAATAAGCTGCATGACACTGTCGCCGCCAAGCGGCGTTTACGGTTCGGTCAGGTGGGTTAACATTTTTGGCATGAGCCGCCGCAGATTGTCATCGCCAAACGGCGAGAACGAAGCGAAGGAGGGGGGGGAGTTGACGTGCACCCCAATGATATACGCGTGACGAATTGACCCTACAGCGTGCGATTCGCGTAACGAGTGTCGATGAAACGACCTTGTCGACGAAACGTGTGTCCATGAAGCGTGTGCCCATGATAAGTTATCCACGAAATGTAATTATACGAAACAAGTTTCGACTAAATGGTAGGACTCCTGTTGCGATCTCGGATTTCCATGGAATTTCGCATTATTTGAAGACGTATGCTAAGCAGTTTGGAGTGGAAGCTGTTTTAGTTCCGATTTCAGGGCGAGTAGACCAACTTCTTTTAAAACGGGAGTGCAATAGTATAGGAAAGCTGACCGTGAAATATCGATCCCTTGCCAGAATAGGGTAGTGCATGACATTCCGATGCCACGTGGTTTTGCATATGTAGGGCAAACATCGACGTGTGTCAATGATAGATTAACGGAACACAAGAGCAGCGTAAGGATTAATGCAACCGATTCGGAAATAGCAAAGCACATAAATGGATGTAATAATGGCGCTGCTTTGTGGTCAGTGATGGAAATAATACAGAGAGAAATGAATGACAGTCAAAGGCTGGTAAGAGAAACCGTTCGAATAAAACTAATTGTTAACTGTATTAGTCAGGCATCGTTGCAGCTGGGGAACAATGGGAAATCATTTTTGAAACTGTAAACAATTTTGTATGTGTCTGTCCGGCCGAAGTAGTACAAAGTGGGCTCTAAAATGGGGGCCGACGGGGGTCAAACGTGGGCAGGCCACGTGAGTCCCACGTCGGTTTCGCAACTCGGGCCCAAGTCAGCCCTCGTTGGGCAGCCCACCTCGGCTTCCCTCTGTGAGGCCTTGAGGGGGCCCACTGGGGCAGCCCACATGGGTTGCCCTCGCGGTTCCCACGGAGAGCCTACGTGCGGGCTATATACAGGGTGTCACAAAAGAAAATTTACACGGTCTTTTTTACCGCAAAAATAAACTAGGCATCGCCGAACACTCATTCTCCACCCAAAGGTAGAGCTAGAGGTCACAACCTGATGCCAAAGTTTCAGCCCGATCCGATAACTTAATCAAAAGTTATAAGTGATTTTCTGAAAATTTCAATGGGAAAATGGCGGCCGACGGAGTTTTCAAACACACGGGGCTCTATGGCACCAGAAACCGAAAACGGGCGAAAATGGGCCCCATTTTCCCATTGAAATTTTCAGAAAATCACTTATAACTTTCGATTAAGGTAACGGATCAGGCTGAAACTTTGGCACCTGGTTGTGACCTCTAGCTCTACCTTTGGGCGGAGAATGAGATTTCGGCGATGCCTAGTTTATTTTTGCGGTAAAAAAGACAGTGTAAATTTTCTTTTGTGACACCCTGTATATACACCTCCACACATGGTCGAACCCACTCTAGTGTTCCCAATATATCATTAATTTTGTTTTTCACTAAAAGTATCTCGATACATTTCAGATTATTTTTCCGAAAAATAATTAAGGTATCGTTACAGTTACTATAATAACGTATCGAGTTACAGTTAAAGTATCCAAAAAAAGTAACGAGTTACTGTATCGCGATACTATATAGCCAAGACCGTTCCTCGCAGATACAGGCCAAATGTGGCAAGGCTCTGTTTCTCACAATGAAAGACAAAAAGGTAAGCGTCCTGAATAGGCAAATAAAGTAAAAATTTCAAGAAAGCTAGTTCCCCATAAGGAAGGAATGGGCTCTTTGTGTTACCTTCCTTGGTGGATATCGTTACCAACACGCTCGTTTTCTACTTGATTCGAGAAAGGACGGCGCACTCCGAACGTACAATGCAGGTGGAGAATCGAGCTGATTAGATTTTTACAGCCCAGGAGGGTGGCAGAAATTTCTGACTAAAAGGGGTCGCGAGAGTCGCAATATGGCGCCGGCAGGAAAGCTTTTTTTGGATCGCTCCAGCGCTGGCTTTCGACAGTGGGCGCGTTAAGACCGTACGCCGAAGCGCGAGAGTTTGGTACTTTTTTAATAATTTCACAAACGGACAAGGGCACCGCCGGAGATTGACACTTGAACGCGTTAATTCTTCGTGCACCGAGTATTTCTCGGAGCGCGAGTGACATCTCCGCGCTCCGACGCGTCACGTCCACAAACAAGATGGCTGCGCTCAGAGATACGTTGTCGAGACGAGGGCGCAGTGGACCGCTGCCCCTTTTGAGTTGACTAGTGTTTTTATCCAGCAGGTTTAAAATTACAGGAATATCCATTGGTGAATTTTTCGGGAATGCGTTAGCTTGAACCTTGGAAACGCCACAAGTCTCTCTTTGGAAAACGCAAACGATGACCCCTTCACTTTTTTTTTTTTTGCTATCTCTTTCGCTTTACCTACTTCTTGCTGCCTCTTTTTGGCCTCGTCACGCGGTCAGCATCAGCGTTTCCTTAAGGGGGACTTCTATGGCATTTCCGAAAGGTCATATGTAACGCATTCCCCAGAAATGCACCAATAGATCTTTCTGTATTTTTCCCCTTTCTTGTACTCTGCCTGCCAGAGTACGTCGACGCCCTTGGATATGGTCATTCATATCACTTGTGGAAAGAACCACATCCATACCACACGTGGAAGGAACGGCGTCCATATCACTCGTAGAGTGAACCGCATCCATCGTTTTAACTACACACATACTCATCACAGCCCACGCACCGCTACTACGGAAACCCAGGGGCAGAACAACCGGCGACATCAGAGCGACAACTGAGCTCGCCCGCATTCCATTACGACGGTGCGCAACACCTCCTAGATAACAAAGCCGTAGTTCTGCTGGATGAGATGGCATCAAAGAAAACCAATCCTGGGCACAAGTATAACACGACGATTGCGTCAACGTTCGGCTCAAACTTGACTTGAAGCCGAGCGTTGACGCAGCACTCGTTTCGAATCTGTGTCCAGCGTTGGCCTTCTCTGAGTAAGCGATCTCACTCACCACTATGGCCTTATTATCTAGGAGGTGTCGCGCGGCGCGTCCTCCTCTCTGGCTCACCGCCAGCTGTTCGCGTAACTTTGCCAAAAACGAAAGGGCTCGTTTTGACGAAAACCCAGCTGCGGTGTCTGTCAGTTTGTCAGCGCCGCAGAAAGAGGGAAAGGTTAATTGACCCGCGCTTACGTCATCTTCTCGGGCCAATGGGATCGTCGCACGCGACAACCCACAAACGAGAGACACCACTGGGTTTCCGTCAAAACGAGCATTATAATGCCAACGCATTAAAACGATTTGATTTGAAAGTCAAGACAGAAATTAGCATTCAGAAAAAGGTTTGCTCGTGCATCTCGTCTGAAAACGAAGTCATCTATCGAACGCTAGCGTGACGATAGCACAGCGTCAGAATAGTTGTCAAGATAAGAAGACATTCGGACATCTTTTTGTACAAGAGACAGGAGTCCGAGGAGCACGTGTTCTGGGACTGTTGGTGTGATATATATCCTGTTCTGGGATGTGCTCCAACTCACCCTTAAAAAAGACCTACCTCTCACGGCTCGTGGAATATATTTCTTGTCTGTGGAGGGGACGTCTTTTCCCTATGACCTTGCGTTTTTTACTGGGTCTGCATGCTATTTGGAAATGTGGGCCGGCAGTTCGTCATGCGGATCTGGATGCCCGCCACGTACGGTATTATTTCATTGAAACTGTGAGCTTGATTGCAGCTGTGTTACAGAAAATATCCCCAGAACTGGAGTGGTTGTCGGCCTTTGTGATGCTGTCGACGATCAGAGAATTTTAACAATTCGCATCGCCTCTCAAAACCTTGCACGCGGCGTTTTATCGTCGTCTTCATTAACCTCGAATTTGCTCAATATAATATTTCACATGCTCAACTGAAATGTATCGCGCAGTATCGTGTATTTTGGTTTTTAGTTTACTGTCAAAATATAGAAACGAGAAAAAAAAAAAAGTTCGGTGCATAGGTGTACCATGCTACATAAATATCTGTAGAACAATGTGTTAGTGGCAAAAGTCACTGTATTCTGAGGAAATAGCGCCACTGCATTTTCTGCCTGCTAGCCGGACAAAGAGATACAGACGACAGAAACCTCGCAAGGTGACTGACTGCTCGGTGTAATTTGCCATGGCAATCGCCATTTCGGCCCCTTCATTATTTCGAAACTTACAGGTCATCGAAGTATTATTCTTCAATGCCTCCAAGCACCGACACCGCATGTGGTGGCGGTACTAAGATGTACGGTTGTTTCGCCGATGTGTGGTTAGCAAAATTTCGGTAGAGAAGAAACGTCTTTATAAAGCTACCCATCACCATCGAATTTGGATTGGCTCACCAAGAACGGAGAGGTCAAGGAAAAATTGCTCATTTTATGAGCCAAAATGGCGGCCATACGGGGAGCGTGGCACTACTTACCGAGGATCCAGTGATTTTAGGTGGAACAAGAAATTACAGGGGGGGGGGGGGGGGGGGGGCTAACGGTTTGCCAAGTGGTCGAGAGAGTCGCGTGAACTGTCCGTGTCGCAGAGCACGCGAGCTGGGCCGCTGTCCAGAGCTATAAGCGAACATTGTGGAATCACGGCTGCCCGTGCGGCGTCCATCGCCGTTTCAATCAGACAGGAACGCGTCGCGTCGAAGCGAGCAAACGGGCAAGACAGCAGATAAGGACGCGCGTGCGCACTGCGCGGTTCTCGGCGGTGTTATCTGTGTGACGTCGCTTCCGATACCACGTATTCGTGACATCGACCTCCCAGCTTTCCACCTCCATCCAAGTGCGAAAAAAGACGTAATTATAAGTCCAGAAAAAATTAGTGTCTGCGTGACTCTATGGGTAGCGTGTCTGGCTCGCAACCGCAGGGTTGTGATGTCGATCCCGCTCCGCCGCAAATTCTTCGAATTTTTTTTAATTTTAAGTCAAGCGAATTAAGGCCCATTCACACACTTGAGACTTCTTAGAACAGAGTGCCTTAACCCTCTTAAAATGTCTTACGACGGGAGGGCAGACTGGCACCACCTATCCGGTAGCAGTGGAACACTTGGCGGTCCCGTATATTTCGTATTTCTTTCGCGCATCATTCTTTCTTACTTGGCTTGAAAAACTTATGTCAATATTATAAACGAATATTTCTCATAAGTAATACGTACATTTAACCTCGCAAATGCCGCCAAACCTTCGCTGTAGTGAAATTCAGTTCCGGGTCACCGCATAGATGGCGCAAGTGTGTCAGTGTGTTGTTCTCTTGTCGAAAGAGATTTTTAGAGGTTTTGATGCTCTTTGTTCTAAAAAGCCGCAAGTGCGTGAACGGGCTTCTACTTATCGACCAATCAGGATTTTATTGTCCCGACGACGCCGGCGCCAGCTTTTCCGCACAACGAGCTTCTTGAAGCTCTCGCTTTAGCAAGCGAATCACACCACCGCACGCAGTGAATTCCTCGCGGCGGAGTAAAGGCTGGACTCTTTGGAGCGAAAAAAGTGACGAATTTCGCCCGGCGTCGTTTGCTCTGCTCGTAGAGTCAGAAGAGTGGCTGTTGCGCCACGCGCAAAGCGAACGCGCCACCGGGCGAAGTTCGTGGGTTCTTCGACGAATATTGCACAGCGCTGCACTGCCACGTGGAGCTTAGCGAGCACGATCAGGGGATGGCGGCACTCCCTAAAGCCTAATACCCCATTCACACGGTCAGCATAAATTAACATAGGTCCCTTTGCTATCGGCGAATCAGCCCGTGCTCTTGGGTCGCGGGCACACGCCACGCGTTGAAGATCGTTAATTGATTGGCTGCAGAGAATAAAGGTCCCTTAGCTAACGGTACCTTTACGGTCGTGTGAATGTGGTATAAAACAAATGTTTAGATGACCAATTTCTGATTTCACCGGATCGCAAACTTCCTCGATTTATTTCGCAACCGGAATGCATCGAGGAATTCTATTGATCGATGTAAATTCACAGATACATTTTACGCTGCAACGCGGTACTGCAATTTTGTATTTATCCTTCAATTTAATTTCTGGGACGCTTGAAAGTTGAAACTAAAAAGATGGGCTTTTTTCTCCGAATTCTAGGCCCAGTAAAAGAGTAATGGGCGCGAAATCGAAACTTGTGTTTCCGCGAAGCCGTTAAAATTTTATTATCTTTTGAAAGCAACCACTCCGACGCCAAAAGGTTCAGTAGTTGCTGAAAATAAAGGCGCCTTCCTCACATATAGCGGGGCTATCCGAATTAGGCTATGAGCAGTTACAGCTGAGGTAATTTAAATACCGAAAGCAAAATAATGTGCCACCACTAGGTTGTTGTTTACTCATGCAAACTAGTAAACACAAATTAATAACTAACATCCAGCAAGAATTAATAAATGCTTTTAATAGAAATCACAACATTGCACAAGTAGATTGAGAATATTCGTATTTAACATACTGATAACTTTGAACACAATTAAGTACACATTGTCGTAGTAACAAGAATACAGGAGGCTTCTGACACCGACAGCGATTTATGTCAGGATTTATAATACATAACATTTTAAAAAGCACAGAATCGGTAGACTAGAACGTTCCAGGTTTAATTGGTATAGACCTTTTTCACGGCAAACGCCACCAGGCGGTGCTTCAGTCTTTGACGTTCCAGGTAACTTTCGGTTGATAAAAAGAATGAACAATGCCCATCCTAACACCGCTGCTTGAAATGTCGATGAAACGTTTAATCACCGATTCTCCAGGTAAACGCCAAAAGAACGAAAAAGCGCGAGATCTGTTTATTTTCTTTTTTTTTCGAATGTTTTTTTATACCAAATTGTCTTCTCTAAGGCGTTAAATTGTACAGCCGACGGGCCTAGTTAAGTTTCCAACTTTGCTGACCGTTCAGCATTTATCCCGTCTAGCACCAGTTGCATACACAAGCTCGACAGGCTTGCAAAGACGCAGCTACCGGAAATTGCCTGGGACGCAAACGGCGGTTCATGTTTGTAATCAGTAAAAAGGTCTATACGCGGCGCAACGAAAAATACAAACGTGATAAACAATTAATATACAATAACATGGTACGCAATAAGTGCTTAAAAATGTAATTCTTTCAGAAAGAGATCTTCACCGGGCGGTTATTTTAGGTAAAATAATTTATGTGAACAACGATAAATGTAAAGCCAGACCGTTCTCAAACAGTTCTACTCGACAAGGAAGTGCCGAGGAAACCGAACAGCATTTAGGGAGAAGTTTGCAATATTATTTAATGTAGAATCAAACTACACTCAAGGCGGTGCACGATTGCTTAATAATAATTCACACTTGAATGAACTCCCTGCCGACGCTCACTTCATACTTGCACGAAGGGGTTGCGTTCGCTCGATACGAAAACAGTGCACACCTTAAAATTATAGTGCAACGATTTTAATGTTAACCATCTCGCTTTGTGTATTTTATATTGTTTAGCTAGGCACAAGTGACAAAAAATGCGCCACCTATCCCCCAGAAAATGGATATTCCGCTGCGTAATCTCAAATGAACAATCGAATTATTTGCCCATCTGCAACCGTGGGTGGCGGCTGCGGGAACTACGGTGAAACGTCTTCTGGGGGACACGCGGAAGTCAGCAAAACTTGTCCCTTCCTGTGCTGCACTCGCCGTCAGCCCTTTTGCGAACTGTCTTTTTGTGCAGGTTGCTCGACGCGACCTTCGGCGAAGCCAATCCTTCTAAGGTCGACAATCACGGAAGAGGCGTGTAGGGGATCTAAGGGAGAACGCAACTGAAAATCAGAGGGTCTCCCAGAGCCCGTCACAAAGAAAGATCACGTGAGAGTTGAGAGGCACTTTGTGCTTCGATCTGTTTCTTTTTTTTTAATAAAAGCTAGCGCGCGGAAGAAAACACGGGTTCCGTTCTTCGTTTCATAAATGACACAGTTAATTGGCCAAAGTTCGAAATTCATTGCACAGCCCCTTTAAATATAGACTACTTCTTCACGAGACTGGCGATGATGCGCCCTTGTATCTCAAGAAAGCGCGCCTTGATACTCCACAGTTTCTTGTTTTTTTTTAGCTACTTTAAATAACTATAGTTTCTGACTCCTCGGCATTTATCCTTTCCGCTATGCTATTTAGTTTTGCAAAATTTAAAAATTTTATTGTGAAATAGGCAAATGAAAATGATGCACATACCAACATTAAAATATACTCACACTTTTCAGTGTCGTGACGTCAGTGGCAGGCAGGCTTGCCATTCGAGCAAGCACTCTACAAAATAGAATATGCCAATCATTTGTTCCGTGCTGGAGCGCGGATACTGGAGCGAGATTCTAAATCATATATTTGACACCATGAAACTGCTTCGAATCAGTTGGGAACAAATTCTACAGTCCCCTGCCTTCCAATAACGTCACTTTTTCGTTGTTGCCAGTAGAGACTTTCAGTTTGAAAAACATATGGTGAGGACCAAATTTGTAAATTCAATAACTTCGCGAAAAAAACAATATTCGGACCTAATATTCTAGATACTATTTTAGGCATGTTTGTTGGTGAGTTAAACAAAATTTCAAGCAAATTGCAGACAACGAAAAAAAACCTGTAGAGTACCCCTTGAAGCGCTTGCCCAGCGCGCGGAAGGAGTCGAAGCGAAACAAGCAAGACCCGTGTGCCACACGAGCGCAAGAACTATATCTGAGTGCAAGAAGTGCAACACGAGTGCAAGAAGGCAAGAACTACATCTGAGTGAGCGTGGGAGTTCATGAGTTCGATGAGGGGCATGAGTTTGTGGGCTCGGTAAGTTCATGAGCTCGGTGAGGGCCGTGAGTTTGTAAGTTCGGTGAGTTAATGAGTTCGGCGAGTGGCGTGAGTTCGTGAGCTCAACGAGAGGCGTGAGTTCGTCGAGTCCAGAGAATTCGTGAGTGAGGACCGGAAGTTGAGTGCCGCGGCGAGGGTGAGGGTGAGTGCGTTCTTAACTTTTTTTTATTAATATTTTGAACTGACTGTGTGTGAGTTCATCCAAAAATGCCTACCTCTGCCGTTGAGTAATCGCGAAGACCACTTCGAGCAAGAAGGAAAGAACGGCTATAGCGATACCGAAGCCGTATATTACAATGGGGTCATTCATTTGAGTGTTTATAGAGGGTCGAGCGGGTCTATCGGTGCGATTATAGGAGTGTTGTCTTATCAGCCGCCTTTCTTCGAAGTAATTCGCTCCGGTTTCTATCAATCTGAGCACGAGATGCCTTAGTCCCTGATTGAAAGGAAAGGCTTTTGCTGTCACGGTGGCGCCGACGTAAGTTCTGAAACAATCTTCTGCTGGTGCCAGATTATATTTAGGAGGTATTGGACGGTAAGCGGGGTCATTTTCCCTCAACAAAATATGCGTGCCTTTCGACGCCAAAGTGAGGCAAGACGTGTGGTCTTGCAAGCAGTCGTCACAGTTTTCGAGTATCTTCCTCAACCGGAGAAGAATCCCAGTCGCATTAGCGAGTATCATTTGG